GAGTTAATTTCTTCCAGAACATTTAGATTGAATCAATCCATTTGGTATTTAATGTGTATTTGTAAATGAAAAAGTGAAATAAATCAGAATTGCCTTATTAACGTAAAGTAAAACCGGAATAACTAAAACAGAAATGAAATCGAATAGAGCATGAAGACCGAGGACCATAGAAATTCTTGTAGCTCTATCAGGCCATGCTTTAGGACAATGGTGTACCCTTTTTGAATAGGGTAATGTAAAATCACCAAACATAAACGCAAAGGCTCCAATTCCAAAAATTATCTGAAAAGTTATATTTACAAAATATTAACAAATATCATTAGAACTACAAACTTCATTTTCAGGTTTTATGCAACTTTAAAATTGTATTATTCATTAATATTATTAGAAAGAATTCATATATTTAACTAACGGAATTAAAATCTAAATTGTGCAGTATTTGAATCTATTAATTTAAAAACGAGTTTGAAACTACTAAACTTATTTAATTTTTAAAGACAAATTAAAATTCTTCGTGCCTGTATTATAATAAGAATGACAGCCATTTTTTTTCCAAATTTTTCATATTTGGATGAGAGAAATGTAGCGATAATTCTTTCAGCTACTATTGAAGATATAGAAGCGGAATTTAGGGAAGATGATAAAACGATCGGTGTTCGCATCATGAAACATTCCCAAACAAACAACATATACCCGCACGGGTTATCGACACGTGCCCTACGGTATGCCAGTAATACATAGGTATGGGCAAATATTCTGTAATAACTAGAAAAGATTTTTCAAAGTAAGTGATTTTTGCTCGTAACTTGAATTGTTTAAAATGATTGTACAGCATTCGCTTATCATCCGAGATATGATCGGTTGATCAGCAATCGATCAACTAATCCATTTCTTTGTACATTCCGTTGCTTACTTATGGCTTTAGTTTGATATAATATTCAATTGATTGCTTTTTTCTCTTTTCCACCAGTATTTTATTACTGTATATTTTTTATTTACATTTTAATCATTTCTTTGTGCACAATTCTTGAAAGAATCGAATTTAGGAGTGCGACATTACCGCCCCGCTATTCGTTTGAGGTTGCAGAAAAGTATTAAAGACAAACTTAAATTCTTCATATATGTACTACAATAAGGAAAGTAATCAGAAAATGAAAATTCTTTTAATAATTAGAGTAAAAATATAAAACCTTGCAGCACAGTGAAGAATCAGCCATAACTGATGTGTAATAATCAAAATTCGAGCATTCTGATGAAGTAAAATACGATTTGTTGTTTTAAATATTACCCAAATTTCAACAATAATTGCTGTCGCTGAAGTGATAATTACAGCAATGAGAATAGCATTGTATACGATATTATTAGCTAATTCACTTGCTTGCTTGCATGATTCCATATTTATAATCAGCCTAAAAATTTTGCAGCTTGTTACTTCTAAATTTCAATAATTAGAGTTGAGACGCCTTTTTGTAGAAAGATATTATATATAGAAAGAAGAAAATTAAAGAATTTGTCGAGATTAAGGCTGAAGTTTGATAATGAGCAAGAACTCACCTTTAATTAACAGCTAATCCTGTTAATTAGAATTCTGCTGATATGTGTCACACATTCTTTTCAGACAACTGTGTGAAGATGAAAAGAAATGAAAATGATGCATGAAAAGTTTTTTTTTTGAATTTTCCAGTAGCGAAAACTTCTAGCAGAAAAATTTTATTAAATAATTCATTGGAAAACTTGAAAAATTAAGTTAAAATTGTATGAATGTTTTAATGTTTTTTCATGAGAGAATTATAAAACTATGGTTGATTTATGAACAGCAGAATTTTGTTTTCAATAAAGAAATGTGTGAAATGAGAAAATAAAATTAATAATATTTTGAGTTAGCACTGGGAACCTTAAAAATGATTTTCTTTTATTTCTTAATTCATTTTTTTTTTTAGTAACGATCACAACCACAATTTCTATCTTTTGATCTGTGTAGTTTAATGATTGAATTTTAGTGTGCAGCAGAAAATAAAACTGCGCCATTTTTTATGTATATCGTTCGGATCACAATGAGAAAATAAAATTATTTTACTGATTGCTTTTTTCTTAGCAAATTACAAGAATAAGTGAAATTCCTTCAAATGCAATAAGCAAATTTCAACCTCTGACGAAATAACATTACGGAATATCACGTGTCACATTGTAAGTTTTCATTTAATTTAGGTGTGAATACGAAATTACTGTAAATGGGAGCATGTTAATAATGCTGCATCATTCGAACGAATTTTGGATGGCGTGGAATTTCGAATAATTGAAAATCTGAATACTTGGATTCGAATTTCAAAAAGCAAAATTTGGATGATTTGATAAATTAATTTATTATTTTGGGAGGTTTTGATCGCAGGAAGATTCGTTGGATGTAAATGTAAACATGCGGGGTAACAGAGGAATATAATAATTCCTTTGTTAACAGAAGCAAAATAGTACAGTAACTTGATAGAGAACCTTGAAATTGATTGGAGGAAAAGACGGAAGTTATCGCGTTGAGAACAAAAATAGCTCAAAATTTGGTAAATAATTTTCGCTGATATTTCATTTTGTTTTGTTAAAAAAAAAAAAAAAACTGAATATCAAATTGAGGAACTTGAATTCAAATTAGAACTTTAAATTCAGGTTAAATTCAGACTTAAATTCAATATTAGTCAGATTGTCATTTTACATGTGTGGTTAAAATCAATTAAAACTAATTGAGTATTGTTTTTTTTTTTTTTTTTTTTCACTAAATTGCAAAAATTTTTGAAAACTTTCACCAGAAATTCTTGTTATAGCATATATTATTTAATAATATCAAAATAGAAATAGAATCAAATTATCATTAAATTACAAAAGATGATAAGACATTTCAATAAGAAAAATAGAAAAGTCATTAGTTAAAAAACAAAAATTGTAGCACTATGGGTAAAAGTAAAATTTGTCACTGCTATCATCACTATTATCAATATCATCGATATATGAACAACTGCAACATCTAAGAAATAGTTCCGTTGAATCCATACAAAGAAAAATACTTTGTTCGATAACATCATTTACTTTTTCCAATAAAGTAGTCGCTGAACTGCTCGAATTGATTTTGAAATCATCTGATGTCTGAAAATCTCTGAACTTGTTCATTCACATATAGTTTCCTAGGAACATATATTTCAAATCAGTTAAATCCGTTTAACTGTCTCTTATTCTGCTATAATTTGAAGGAATAATTCTAAGAAATAAGTGTAAAAAGAAAGTAACCATATCTGATGCACTCCACAATAAAATTACTTTGAATTTTACATGATTTCAATTTTCTTAATGAATAAATAGAAGTATTTAAATTCAATCTTTTGGTACCATCATTACGCATCACTCGGTGTGATCACATTCAGATTCCATTCTGTTAGTTTCATCTTTCTCCATATTCACATATTCCTCGAAGCATCACAAAATATCAATGACTTATCAATAAATTATTGCTAGGTTATCAATGATAATTAGCTTTATCAAGAGCACAAGAAATAACATTCAAAAACTTACTATGTTAAGCGAAACAATCTCAGTGTCATTCGTAGTCCGATAAACATTAGCGTTAAATATTGGTGCAATTATGCATAAAATGATACATAACATTGTCATCATCATCACCATATTCCAAAACAAACTTTAATTAATCTGCGAAGACAAATCTTCCTCAATCTAGAAAACTGATAACTTATTGTTAAAAAAAGTTTTGATATGTATAAAAAAAAATGTGATAAAACGAAATTCTCGTTTTTATGTCAATCTTGAAGTTAGTATACCAACAAATTTGATGCTTGCCTTTTTTAACCTAAAATAAAAGTTGCATGTATGAAAATAAATGAGCTGACTTTATAAAATCGTAAGTTTAAAGTCTAATCAGACACTTAACATTATATAGATTTTCCTGAATCCATTTCAGGTGAGGAAAATATTAACTGATAATGAAACTTGTTTGATCAAACAGGTAATATTAGTAAAAATAAACTGTATGAAGCAGAATAAAATGGGGCTTTTTAAAGGGTCAGACAGCAAATTAGCATATCGGTTAAACAAGGAATGGATTAACGAATTTTTTAATCTTTATTTAATGCAATTTATTCATTGTCGCACACGAATAGATGTAACTCATTGACTGTCACACAAGATTAATAATATTTTCAAATATCATTTTTAAATATAGCATAATTTTCATATTTAGCATAACAATTGGTCAGCAAGCATACTGCATTAATCTTTAGTGTTTTATTAATTTTTCAATGAATTTAAAATAATTGAACATAAATACAAGAAGCAGTTCATTTTCGCTTGTTGAACGATTAGTATTACACTGAAAGGAGACAGAAATCGATTGATCTAATCATCGTTTATTTCTTTTCTTTTGAGTTAAAATTGAAAAAAAAAAAAAAAATAGGGTAGAAAATGAAATCTTGTGATAGTGCAATGAAAAAATTTGGTGAGAAAAGATGAATGAGATTAAACATAATAAATTGTTAAATGAAAAGTTTTGAAATTACCTAGGAAGAAAGGTATGATCAAAGGAATGAGTAAATTAAGACAGAAGAAAAATAAAGAAAGGATGAAGAAAAGATTGTCAAAAAAAAGTAAGATGAATAAACGAAATTAATTGAATCAATTTATGAGCATTTTTGATCAATGAAATTAATTCTGAAACCAAATGTATATTTAGAATAAGCAAAATTAAATAGATAAAATCAATACCGATTAAGTATAAATTAAGAAATTTCGAGTTATAAATTAACTTCTAAAATAATGATAAAAAAATGAAATTTAAAGCAGAAATAAACTTAATGAATGAATGAGTGATAAGCTGGTGATAATGAATTCTTTCGCAGTAGTCTGATTTGAAATGAAATAATCGTAATTTGCATATAAGTAATTTATATTTAATAAACTTTTTTTTTTTTTTTTTTGTTTCTAAGAAACTTATGGGAATGAAAAAAATGGAAAATGAGAAGGAAGAAGCGATTGGCTTGTTTACAAACAAATTTTTAGCTTCATATTTTGTTGAATTTCTCATTTTTCTCACTTCGCACTTTGCTGAATTGACAGTAATTTTAATCGGATCGCTTAATTAATTAATTGCTAGTTGACAGTTATGATCATCTTTAATGTTTCATATTTTGAATCTCATAAATTAGTTTTATCCAGATGAAATGCATAAGTTAAAAATGAAGAATGAAATAGAAAGTAATTTCAAAAATGTGTAACAACGTTGAGGTAGAAAAGTTGAAAAAAGATGGCGCTAAATTTAGCATATGCAAAATTTATTTGACATTTCAATCAACTTGTCCATTTGAATACGATGGTCCTTCTATCAACTTATCATCATATCATATCATAAACATATCATGTTGGATCGGTAATTTTTGTTTCGCTTTATTTCATGATAAATAAATGTGTATTAGTAAGAGCTCGGTTATTATGCATAAGCTTGAAATGTTGAAATTGATGCATCATAGTAAAAATTTTAGGCAAAAATTTTAACAATTCTAGGCTTGATTTATTTCGTGCCTAGTTTTTTTTTTTTTGTCTCAATAGAAAGTGAGCCAAGTGATATTTCAAGTGATAATGATGAAGTGGAATCAGAGCACTCTGAAGATGAGAAATAAAACAAAAACGTTGTTTATTATTGTTTTGTAAATTTTACTTATTGTATATGATTGACGTTGTTGTCCTTTCTAATGAAAAAAAAAAAAAAAATGTTATTAAATTAAATAAAATGAATTTCTCATATTGCAATTACTTTGAGTAGTGGCTTTTAAGATGAATGCACTAACCGCATAGTTTAGTTTTACAAGTAAAACTTTGATTTAGAAGTTGAAAATCTAATCTCGAAATACTAAATGAATCTGATTGGTTATTCATTCAATCTTTCAGATTGTAATCAAATACTTTCTTTGTGTTATCAGATGATAACCATTATTTATGATATGATAATAAATATTTATGAAATATATGGGACGGACAAATTTTATTAGTACAAATCATTTTAAATTTCAGTTCATCAATTCATGAATTTAAAAAAAAAAAAGATTTACGAATGTTTGATATACAACAATTGTTGATGTTTTCCAATTATTAAAAGACATTGTTTTAACGATATCGTAAGAGTGACCGTTTTGACCATTTTGTGGACATTAGATCTACTGCTTATGTTTATAATTTGTTCCAGCCGTTTTCCAATTTCCTTTTGTGTCTTTTTTTGGGTCATAAATGTCTAATTCAACAATAGATGGAGCTACAACTTCTTGAATTCCACATGATGATTTGCAGTGTCCACCAGGTTCACCACGTTCACCAGGTGGTCCAACTGGTCCATTAGGTCCTGGTTCACCTCGTTTACCTGGTGGTCCGGTTGGTCCCTTCAAAGTAAACCATAGAAAATATTAACTTACAGAAAGGATATGTAAGAAAAGATGCGAAATACTCTTGGATAATACGTTTTTCATTTAAATTAATCATAAATCTAAAATTAAGTATAGAGTAAATAGCCTCTTAGTGCAATTATAATACTTAGGAAAACAACGGAATAAGCTAAGCATACCATTTCACCAGGAGGTCCTGGTGGACCAAAATTGCTAGATGGAATTCCATTTGGTCCTGGTGGACCTTTGGGTCCACGAGGTCCTTGTGATCCTGGTGGACCTTTAATTCCTGTTCCACCGATTGCATCATCACCAGGTGGACCCTGGGCAATATATATGTGTTTAATGATTTTACTCTTTTTTTTTTTAATTTGCAAATATACTATTCGACAGTGCATCGATTTCTTCGTACTATTTATTTTTAATTTTTACTTTTTATTTTTTTTTTTACGATTTTTATATCTGTGTGACTTTTTTTATTGCTTAATTGTGCCAGGAACAATCTCTTCCTGTCCTTCTATTATTTGTGTTTTTATTCGGTTTCATTCCATCATTGTCATTGAATTAATTATAATCCAATCGCAGTATTTTATAGCTAAGTAAGGTAAAAAAAAAAAAAATAAATAAAATTTAATCTTTGTCCTTTCAGTCATCAATCAAATTGCCTTTTATGACTCAGCTATAAAATATTACTTAGTTATAAAAAAGCGGTATTTTTTATAACAAAATGAAATGTACCTTAATGCCAGGTTCACCTTGCTCACCAGGAGGTCCAGGTGGTCCAGGATCGCCTACCCTACCTCCTTTACCTGGTCTTCCAGGTATACCGTGATGACCTGGCTCACCAGGTATTCCGGGTCTTCCTGGTTCTCCTTGTCGTCCTCTATTTCCTGGTGGTCCTGCTGGACAAATTACGCTGGAATTTCATTTTCTTATTAGATACACTACTTTTTGTAATTTTTGCAATACAATAAATAAAATTGATAAAATGAGCATAATAAATACCAAGGTGAACTTGGTTCCGGTTCCAACGGGATATCTAATCCATCTAATCCAGGTTTTCCAGGTCTTCCAGGTTCACCATTTGTACCATCTTCTCCATCCACTCCTGATGGACCTGGTGTACCTGGTGGACATCTTAGCTCTACACAGCTACCGCATTGTCCTTCAGTTTCATCGGAATCCATTACTGATGCTTCGCCATAACCTATAAAATCACTCTCGTCTATTCAACTTTTTCATTATCAGATTTATTTGCTTTTCTCTCTCTATAGCTTTCTCTCTCTTTCATAAAGAAATTAAACAATTATGATAATAATGAAATCTTCATAAATGATAAAAAATATCTTTTCAAATTTAAAATAATAACTAATTTTAAAGACTTTGATAAATGCATAAAAGTAAGAATGAACAAACCCTGACGTTTAATCCGTCCATTACTTCTTATCAAAATGATATCATGCCACAAATTTTTTGATGTTACCTAAAGAAATTGAATTATTATGAGGTAATATAATAATGAAAAATAAAAATTTAAATCAAATGTATTTAATAACTATTTAATAAATTCATTTTAGACAATATAAATTATATAGTGAATTATTATAAATAATGCTGCACTGTAATTAAGGCTGATAAAAATGTTAAAAAATTTACCCTAAATGATAATAAAGTTTAAATTTAATTATATGGTTAAATAAAAATCAGAATAGAACCAATTTTTTTTTTTGTTTGGTATTAATGTTAATTAACAATTATCATTTAATAATTAACTATTATCACTTAACAATTTACAATTATCACATAACAATTAACTCTTATCGCTTAATAATTAACTGTTATCACTCAATAATTAACATTTTTCACACAATAATTAACTGTTATCATTTAGTAACTAACAATTATCACATAATAATTAAGTTATCACTTAACAATTAACTATTATCACTTAGTAATTAACAATTATCACTAAACAACTAACAATTATCACATGATAATTAACTGTCATCACTTGATAATTAGCTGTTATCACTTGATAATTAACAATTATCATTTAACAGTTAACAATTGTCACTTAATAATTAACTATTATCACTTAGTAATTAACAATTATCACTAAACAACTAACAATTATCACATGATAATTAGGTGTTATCACTTAATAATTAGCTTTTATCACTTAATAATTAACTATTATCATTTAACAATTAACAATTGTCACTTAATAATTAACTGTTATCACTTAGTAATTAACAATTATCACTAAATAATAAACAATTATCACATGATAATTAACTGTTATCACTTAATAATTAACTGTTATCACTTAGTAATTAACAATTATCACTAAATAACTAACAATTATCACATGATAATTAACTGTTATCACTTAATAATTGACAATTATCACTTAATAAGTAAAACATACGCCAAAATTGTTCATTCGTTCCATAATTTGATTGGATGCATAGTCTAATTTGAGACAAAGAAATGGTAAAACAATAAGCATAGAAGTGATGCATATCAGTGAAATTATCACTGATGCATAGCTTAATTTGATGCTCAATGATAACTTCGTCGATGATTCATTAATGAATAAAACATTTGAATGTTTCATTTTTAGCATTCTTTGGTGAGCTGTAAAAAAATTTTTCAACAATAATTAATAAATGAAATTATTTAATTTAAAATAAGAAATATTAAAAATTTTTTTTCCAAAAAAAAAAAAAAGAAACGAATCATTCATGAAAATGAATCCTTTCAATGACCTGTTTAGTTGTTCATTCACACAACTAAATAATATATTGATAAGATAATTAAAAAAAAAAAAAGGTCAACAACACATTTTCAGGTCATCTTTCTTAAATTGAGAAATTTCATTTTAGTCAATTAATGATATTTGAAAAAAGATGATATTTCACCAAAAAAAAAAAAAATTATTGATCACCAGATTTAATTTATTATTCAGTATTGATTATTTGTTTATAAATGTTTCTGGATGAGATGTACACATGAACTTTTAGAAACTTTTAGTTTAAAAAATAATTCTGTCAGATAATAAATAATTATTTTGGTAATTTTTTTTTTATACCTTTTTGTTTTAAAAATTTAAAAAAAGTTAATTTTAAATTATTACTTTTAATGAAATAAATTATAAACATTGATCAGTAGCGGAATTTTTCCTAGAATGAATTAATTATATGAAGATTTATCATAATTTTTCAGCATCATTTTTAAACATAGCAATAAATTTGAACTTTTTTTTTTTGAATACTAATTAAAAATAATTTAATAGTTATCTTACTTAATTATTACTATGAGAGACAATAAGATTTGCCATCTTAATTGTATGAAATATATAAAAGATTGAAAAAAAGTTTGCATTCTTCATCCAAAATATAATTTTCACTAAATGGTATTAACAAAAAATTTTAAAAATTAGATTAAAAATGTGAAGAAGTATTATTTAAAATAATAGATAAAAAAATTTCGCACTAATATCATTGAGAATTTCTAATTATTCAAACGAAGAAAAAGAAGTAGAAATGAATGAAAGAAAAAAATTTTTCAGTAATATAATGATTGGAATTGACACCACTTCAAAAATATTACCATATTCTGTTTGTATTCAGTGTTTTTCCGGATAAACCGGTTAAAATATTCCGGTTATGAAGAGTCAGGTGAAAAGGTGACAATAAGTCAACGATGAATTACTTCCACCTGTGATACAATAAAAAGATCCAACAAACGATCAATTGTCAACCATTGTCATCTGCTTGTTGCATTGATCAATATCAGAGTGATAAACTATAAATAATGCTAATGATAAGGAAGCAATTTGAATATGCTATTTACTGATAAGCAAACTGTCAACTTATCATGCAGAACTAAATTAGAAATAATAATGATAGATTAAACTCTTTTTTTTCTTTTAAATTTTTTCATTCATTAAAATAATCAGCGCAATTTAGTAGCATTTGATATTTGATCACATTGTAATGTTAATGATTCTGTAGGATAACTTATGGAATTTTTTTTCTTTTATAAAAACATACTTTTCACGTGTTAATGACGTGATCTGACGTATAATAGAATATTCTTCTATAGTAAAAAAGTAAAAATAAATTTCTTCTATTTGAAAGTGTCAATTTAAAACAAAAAACAAGAAAAAAGTGGACACTTTAAATGAATTAGCCTCAATAGATGCAGGAAATTCATAGCGGAGTACAATTGCGCCATATAACATGGAGTACAATTGCGCCGTACAATTGCGCCATATAACATGGAGTACAATTGCGCCGTGTAACATGGAGTACAATTGCGCTCTATAACATGGAGTACAACTGCGCCGTACAATTGCGCCATATAACATGGAGTACAATTGCGCCGTGTAACATGGAGTACAATTGCGCTCTATAACATGGAGTACAATTGCGCCATGTAACACAAAATGATCATAAACAATATGTTAAAATTCATTTTTTATATTTTTTTTTCAAAAAAAAACATTTAAATGAAAATAAATATATGAATGATTTCTTTTTCAATTTTTTGCTTTTTCACTCTTTTCAAATTGTTATTATTTATATTTTACTTTTATTAATTATTTAGAAAAAATTTTTCGTTTTTTAAAATTTTTTTTTTGCGTTTTTTGCTTACGTTTTTTGCATACATTTATGTGTTACATAGGAAAAAAAATAATGTAAATAAAAAAAGGAAACAAAAATTAGAAACGAAAAAAAAAAGTGGTATTGGTGTTAATTAATTGCTTAATTGTTTGTTTTTTTTTTAATTGTTTTAATTAATTGTTTACATTTTTGGACTTCTGAATAATAGAATGAATTGAAATAACATTTTCTCTATTAAATATCATAAAAATATATATATATATAAAAACTATAAATATCGAATAATTCACATCGAAATTTTGCAACTATCTGTCACCAAGCAAACAATTTGATGATTATTTCTTCTACTAATGACATTAATTTAAATTTCATTTTAAATTTCCAAAAAAAAAAAAAAAATGATATTTGGCTAATATCAATACTAAAGTAATAAGTATATAATGTTTACATCTTTATTTTAATTACATAATTCTATCAGACAAATCTAAATTAATGTACCATTCTGTACTTTTTACAACATTTTGCTAAAAATGTATATTTAATTTTGTTAATTTTATGAATTCTTAAACATAACCAAATTATTTTAATGGAAATAAACCATTACCACTTTGTTTTCTTTTTTTTTTTTTTTAAGAAAATGCTACCTTTTTTGAGTACACACATAAGTGAATCTGCATAGTGGACAAACGACAACTATAAAAAACAATTTGCGCCATTTACTGATGTGTGACCTTTTGTTGTTGTCATCTGCAATCGAACTAGTCTTTCCATCATTGAAATAATCAACTAAGTCTTAAATATCTATTTTTCATTAAATTTATTGCTATTTTTAGCAGATCCAGCACTTAATTAAAATTAAAATTGATAATCTAGAACTAATTTCCTTGTTAAATGTAAGAAAACTATTACAATTTTTAAAATTTTTAAAAAATTCAAAATTTAAATTTGAAATTAAATTTAATTTTAATTCTTAAATTGAATGAAAACCATTATTAATTGAAAGTTTTACTAATTTTGCTGATGAATTTTTGCGCAAAACTTAATTATAAAAGCATATTTTAATATTTAAACTATAAAATGACCAACCATATATGACCACCACTGGTACAATGCATATAACATAGTCAATTAAGTTCAAAATATTGCTATTTTTAGTAGTTTTGGCACTTAATTGAAAGTAAAATTGATAATTTAGAACCAATTTTCTTGTTTAATGCACGAAAATTAACACTTAATTAAAATTAATAAATTTAATTAACCATCATTAATTGAAAATTTTATTTTTTAAAATGAATTAAAACCATGATTAATTGAAATATTAACAACGATATCATTGATATCATTTTTTCTTTTTTTTTTTTTTTATTTCTTTTAAAAAATTAATCATTTCTCATATTTCTCTATTAAAATTAAAATTTTGCCATTCATAATTTAGTTTTTTATAATTTTTCTCATGAAAAAAAAACACTAAATGTATTCATACAATTTTAGCTGCAAATTTTTATTAAGCATTTCATGAACTATTTAATCAGTAATTGAAAATTTTGCTAATGAATAATTTTTTAAAAAAAAAATTTTTTTCTCATGCATCATATTTTCATTCACTTTTTTATTTTCATACAGAATTGCCTAGGAAATAAATGTATAACATAACATCTGCAGAATTTTTAATTTAACAACATTTTAGTTATTAATTAAAGATGATTTCATGTTCATTATCAAACTTCAGCTTTGATTTTAAAAAAATTTTTTAACAAAAAAAAAAAAGAGAACTTTTATTTGTGTTATAAATTAAGTCGATTTTATTCTTACATATAATTGTTATCCCTATAAAAAAAAAGATGTCTTAATATTAATTATTGCAAAAATTTTCTAACAATAGTAAACTACAAAATTATAAATAACAAAAATAGAAATTATAATAAATATGAACTAAAATAGAATTTGCTTATTATTTATTCAAACATATGCAAATATTTATTCAACAATGTTATTTTATAATTTCAAATAAATGTATGTTTGCTTCATTATCGTATATCGTTGTCAATTTTATTAAAATACTTTTTGTTACACATGAATGATACATGATATTTTAAATGAATAATTTTAAAACTTATCTAATGAATAGTTTAAAAAAAAAAAAAATTTTTTTTTTTTTCACACTTTATACGACATTTTATTTTATTTGTGCAATTTGCATGAAAATAATCTATCATACATATATATCAATATAAATGCTAATTAACAATGTTCAATTGTTAATCTGTGATAATTTTTTTTTTTTTTTTTTGAATATGTTTATGAATTAAATCTTTATAGTACTTACTTATTCTTTCTTTTTGATTTTTCAATCTCTTTCAATCTCTTTCATTTTTATAAAAATAAATTTTTATATGTATGCAAAAATATTCTTTTTCATTATAAATTTATGAAATAATAAGCTACAATTTTTTTGTTTTTTTTTTTGAATATGTTTATGAATTAAATCTTTATAGTACTTACTTATTCTTTCTTTTTGATTTTTCAATCTCTTTCATTTTTATAAAAATAAATTTTTATATGTATGCAAAAATATTCTTTTTCATTATAAATTCATGAAATAATAAGCTACAATTTTTTTTGTTTTTGTTTTATTTTTAGACTTATTATTATAAATATGGAATTATGTATGCAAGCAAATGAATTAGCTAAGAGTGATTTATTCAGTGCAATTCTTATTGTTGTAATTATCATATCAGTAGCAGGAATTATTGTTGAAATATGGGTGATATTTAAGACAACAAATCGTATTTTATTACATCGAAATACTCGAATTTTAATTATCACACATCAATTATGGCTTATTCTTCATTGTGCTGCAAGGTTGTTTTTTTTTTTTTTTTTTTTTTTCAAATGTGAAAAAAAAAAATTAAAAATTTATCATTTTTCCTTTTCTTTCTTTTTTTTTATTACCTACAAAGGTAGTTTGTAATATAAATTGAAAAATTAAGCATAAAATTAAAAAAAAAAAATCATTCAGATATAAGTGAGAGAGAACAAAAAAAGTGGTGAAAAAGAGGAAATATTTGATAAAAATTCATATTGATAAAAACCAAACAAATGACATACAATTTGAATGGTATATTAAATTTTAGGAAGCAAAAAATTTTCAAATTAATTTTTGATAAAGTCTTTTTAAGTTATTTCAAGATTAAATTATTAAAATAAAATTGATGCATGCAACAGTGATTTGTAGCAGCATTTTCAGTAAGATGAAACTTAATAAAATGAAGGCAAGAAAGTAAAATGCCTTTCAATTGCATATCATTAAGCATTGTGATCAGATCAAATATCAAAGTTAAAGCAGAAAAGCTTTTAAATGATCAAAATCGATCGATACGGAATGATCTTTATATGTTTTAAATGATCAAAACCGATCGATACGGAATGATCTTTATATGTTTTAAATGATCAAAATCGATCGATACGGAATGATCTGATATCTTTTAAATGATCAAAATCGATCGATACGGAAGATCTGATACCTTTTAAATGATCAAAATCGATCGATACAGAATGATCTTTATATGTTTTAAATAATCAAAACCGATCGATACGGAATGATCTTTATATGTTTTAAATGATCAAAATCGATCGATGCAGAATGATCTTTGTATGTTTTAAATGATCAAAATCGATCGATACGGAAGATCTGATATCTTTTAAATGATCAAAATCGATCGATACGGAATGATCTTTATATGTTTTAAATGATCAAAATCGATCGATGCAGAATGATCTGATATGTTGGAAATTACAAAATATAACAAAAAAAAAAAACAAAAATCATTTTAAAAACTGTTTTAATCATATTATCAATTAATTTTTTTTTTTCGTACAAACTCTTATTTTGGTGACAAAATTTTTTTTTTTTTTTTTGTTGTAGAATATTTGCCCATTTGTATGTGTTAGTGTTATATCAGAAAACATATACTGATCCATGTGGGTATATGGTTTACCCATGGGAATGTTTCATGATGCGAACACCAATTACTTTAACATTACTCCTAAATGCTACATCAATACCGACAGTTGTAATTGAACGAGCTCTTGCAACATATTTCTCTGCAAAATATGAAAAATTTGGAAAAACTATCGCTATTGTACTTTTCATAGCACAGGTGAGAAAGAAACATTTAAATTTATTAATTTAAAAATAAAAAAAAAATAAATAAATAAATAAAAATGATTGTTTCTAAATTCAATCAAATTTTTTTTTTACTAACAGTTTGATTGCATTCAATCCTTTGAACTTATCTTACTTTTAAATTCATTCCTAAGTGATAAATTAAAAAGCAAAGCTCAGCAAATCAATGAATAAGCAAAAAAAAAAAAAAAAAAAACAAAAATTTGAAATGTCACAGAGAATATTTAAAAAATATAATTTAAAATAAATATAATTTAAAAAAAAAACAAATATAATTTAAAAAAAAATTAAAACAAATATAATTTAAAAAAAATTTAAAACAAATATAATTAAAAAAAAATATAATTTAAAATATAATTTCACAGAGAATATTTAAAAAATATAATTTAAAATATTTAAAAAATATAATTTTATATGAAAAAGAAAAAGCTCTATAATTTCAGTTAGCTATTGGCTTTGGAAGTTTCATTTTTATTGTTAGCAATTTCAATTTGTTCGATTCAAAAAAAGTAGTTTACTGTTCAACAGCAAATGAAGGAAATGCGCTAAAATCAGCTATCATTTTTGGCTTTTATACAATCATCGATTTCATTTCTGCTTTAACACTTCCATTTTTAATTTGCATTAATAAGGCAAACTTAAAACCAAATTTTGTTTATTTATTTATTTGTTTATTTTTTTTTAAATTTCCCATTTACAAATACATTCAGTAATAGATTAAATGAATGACAGATTAATTGATTTAAGTGTTAATTTAATTAAAATTTTCTTTTTTTTTCCTGAGAAATTGACATTAAATTATTTATTTAAGTGTTTTGGTTGCTCTTTGAGCATTTGGATTAATTTTACTTGCATAAAAAAATTTGATCATAAGTTATAAGTGATAAATATTTATTATAAGAATAATTTATTCATAGCATTGATTGAATATCGATTAATTGATTTAAGTGTTAATTTAATTAAAATTTTCTTTTTTTCCTGAGAAATTGACATTAAATTATTTATTTAAGTGTTTTGGTTGCTCTTTACGCATTTGGATTAATTTTACTTGCATAAAAAAATTTGATCATAAGTTATAAGTGATAAATATTTATTATAAGAATAATTTATTCATAGCATTGATTGAATATCGATTAATTGATTTAAGTGTTAATTTAATTAAAATTTTCTTTTTTTCCTGAGAAATTGACACTAAATTATTTATTTAAGTGTTTTGGTTGCTCTTTGCGCATTTGGATTAATTTTACTTGCATAAAAAAATTTGATCATAAGTTAGAATTGATAAAAAATCAATTATAAGAATAATTTATTGATAGCATTGATTGAATATCTTTATGCAAATAAAATTTTTAGAAATTTCATCGAAATAAAATTCATGTTAACTTATCACATCGTTATCAAATTATGGAAAATATCAATTCTCTTCAAACATTATCACCAATGGTAGCATTTTACTCGATATTCCTAGCAATTTTTATGGGTGCATTATTTATGCATTTTGCATTCCACTTCAAATTTTCACCAAAACAATTTGCTATCTATCTTGAAAGTTTGTTTATCATCCACTTCTAATAATTTTTTTTTTTTTTTTTTTTAAATTCAAACAGAAAAAAAAAATATAAAAATATATATAACCATCAGCTAATTTGTATAATAAATGAATTAACTTTTTAATTTATATTCATTCATTTAATCAAAATAATATTAATTTCTATTATATATTCATTCATTTAATCAAAATAATATTAATTTCTAATATATATATATATTCATTCAGTTAATCGAAATAATATTAATTCTAATTAAAAATCATTCAGTTAATCGAAATAATATTAATTTCTAATATGTATTCATTTATTTAATCAAAATAATATTAATTTCTATTATATATTCATTCATTTAATCAAAATAATATTAATTTCTAATATATATATTCATTCAGTTAATCGAAATAATATTAATTCTAATTAAAAATCATTCAGTTAATCGAAATAATATTAATTTCTAATATATATATACATTAGTTAATCGAAATAATATTAATTTCTAATATATATATTCATTCGGTTAATCGAAATTTAAAATTTTTATATATATATACACCTGTTAATAGTAGAGGGATAAAATTAATGTTTGAAAATAAAATTAAAATTATACAAAAAATCAGATTTCTTATTGTATAGAATTTTAGAATAAAAAAAACTTTATGTAAAATTTCACTACATGTAATTTAAGTGAATTAAAATTTATTTAATTTATTTACTGCTCATTTCAAGCATAAATTCAATTCTATCGTATCGTTGATGCTTAGCTTCCTCTATTTCTTCTATCAAATTGAATAATTGTAAAGAAATGAAAAAAAATTTTTTTTTTTTTGGTTTCAAATGACTTTTGTAAAAATTTACGAATTATAGAAGAAATGAAAAAGCTAAAGAATACAAATATTTATTGTTTACTGTTTATTTTTTGAATATTTATTTATTTATTTAATTTGATTATACTCATCAGATGTTTTAACTTTTATACTGCAAACAACTTCTTTTACTACTGATTATAATTTTATTACTGATAGTTTGAAGTATAATTGAATTAATATTTTAAGTTAATATTTTATCAATTTTCTAAAAATTATATCTATTGCAGCATAAACTATTCAATTTGCTAAGCAAATATTATTATAAACTTATTTATCAAATTAAAAAAAAAAAAAAAAAAAAAAGAAATTTTCTTACGGATAATAAATTATGTGGAAAATTTTACTAAAATTCAGGTACTCAGCAAACTCCGCTATATGCATTAACCTTACCAATTGCTATAGTATGGACAGAAAAATATATCAGGAAAACTGTTCAGGAAAATTGCCGGAAAGCTATAGAATTAAAGGGCAATGAAGCAGCTAATCATTACTTTGTAATACACTTTTACCATTTTTTTTTTGGAAACTATATTAGGAATAATCATTGCATATGAGAATTGTTTAAGAAAAAGTAATAAAGTTTAAATTTAAATTGAAATTTAAATTAGCATTGTTATGGATATATGAAATAGATTCACAATGAATTTTTGAAAATTTAATTTTTGCATTTTCAGACAATTTTCGAAAGACCTGCAGGAAAGAATGCTTAAAGATTGAAACGAATATCTTAACAATGTGTCAGCAATGAAAGCACAAAGACGATGAAAATTATAAGTTGAATAGATTTGAGAAAAACACAAAAAAAAAAAAACAAATTTTAAAAGAAATTAAAAATCTCATCTCTCATCAAATCTAATTGGTAGTATATATTTTCTTTAATTTAATACCATTCTCATTAAAACTGTTTTTGGTGTAAAATTCTTTATATTCGTAATATTTATATTCTTAATATTAAAAATTCTTAATATAAAAAGAAAAAGAAAAATGGTTGTCGTGGAAATATTGTTACTATTACCCACTTTTTTTTTCAATCAAAAAATTTATCGTAATTTTAAGTTCAATCCTTGTAAAACATTTCTTTATTTGAATAAATTCATTTGCCCATCGAATAATTTAACTTTACTCTAATAAGTTCTCAAAATTGCAACAAAATTGTTCAAAAAAAAAATCGATTGCATAATAAAATAGTGATTTTACTACAAAAGTTATCGTCAAATTGTCATAAGAATAAAAGTATAAATGAGTTACGTTCTGGCATATTTATTTGGTTATAGGTGACAAACTCACCTTTATTTGCATATTAATTTAAAAATAAACTACAAAGAAATAAGATGACAAATATCAGTTTACAGTCATTTTATTAATAAAATGATAAACAATGATAAGTTTTTTGCTGCTTGAGCAAATGAATTTATATTCATCGAAAAAAAAAAAATTTACAAGCGCTTATTAGCATTTTATACTGACGAATTCAACAATGTTTTCTGTGATATTTTCATTCACCGTATTAATTATTACTTTCCAGAAGTGAACTTTAAATATTTTATGGCACATAGCAACTCATTTATCAATTTTAAAATTAAAATCCTTAGTTTCCTTAGTTTTAAAAATTTAAAATCATTTATCAATTTTAAAATTAAAATCCTTAGATATAAGGGAAGGAAAAGGTGAAACCAATCAATGCAATCGTCATATTCCGCGCTGCGCATTTTGCTGATCTCTACTATCAGAGACTGTCTTTGATCACTAAAAACTCTAATAGACTATTTCATTTGCGCATATGCGCAGTTATTAAGAAAGGAAGAGTATGTGATTGATTGCCTTTTGACTATCTCAAATTTTATTTTAAGCCATTTAAAAGATGATTGTATGCTTATCCTATGACTTAATTATTTAATGAGTTTGTAATTATCACATTTTATCTGTGTTAATTAATTCCACTTATTTCACGTCTCTCTGTAATCAGTAATTTGTAGTCTATTATGAGTGTAAAATCAAAACGTTGTAAAATATGCGTAATTTAAAATCACAAATCTAATTGAACAAAAATTCATCCTAGAAAGATCTATTGAGGATTGATGATAAGTAGAAATTACCACAGAACTATTTAGGGAATGTCATGTCGACTGGCACTGTCTCATTTCTCTCTTCATATTTCACTTTTGTTTACTAAAACTCATCTCACTTGATTAGAATTAGAATTATGAAAATTAAAATAATTTGTGCAGTCTAATTTAATGAATCTCTTCGTGAAATTTGAAGTTCAATTTGAAGTTAAAATTCATTTCAATTGAACACTAGAAAATTATACATCATTTAAGCAAAAAAATTATTTCTCATTTTCACATTTTATCTGAGCTTATCTGCTTGTTCTAAAAACATATATTTCATCTAATAACAAAAGCTATGTGCATTGTGTCCAACATGTGTTAAAAATTACTCTTTTGTTTCAAATCAAATTTGCTTTGCAATATCGAAATATTGTATATTCCAGTTCCGATTTATAATTTATAAGTCGATTTATAATTTATAAGTCAATATATTTGTTAAAATTATGCAAATAAATAATTTGATTGAATTGAACAACTGCGCATTTCGTTTTCATATTCATATTTTTAGTTTTTCCTTTTTTTCTTTCAATAAAATTTCATTTTCTCTCTTTTTTTTTTTTTTTTTTGAAATATTTTTGAACTAAATTTATTAAGGAATGAAAAAAAAGAAAAAAAGCAGAATTAGATGTATTTTATTATGTTTAATAAATAGAATAGAATATACGGCTCATTTTTCCTTAAAAAAGAAAAACCAATAACAAAAGGGACAAGATAGCAATAACTAAGTAAAAAAAAAAAAAAGGCAGGCAAATTTGCATTTCATAAGTTGCATATTTTAACTAAACCATTTTCGATTTTCAAAGGGATAACAATAATTTTTTTTTTTTAATAATACACATATAAGATATGAAAAACAAAACGGATACATTCAAGAATAAATTATAATTTGCATGCTTGATAAAAAAAAGAGAAAACCATGATGCAAGCAAATAGGATCAACAAAGAAAAGTCTATTCTAGTCTGTAACTATTCCTTCTTCTAAAATGTAGCGTTAAGAACAAGTAAATCTCTTTTATATATTCATAAGATGAAAAACTTCATATGCATTTATCGTCTCATAAAACTGATACAAAAAAGATTATAGCAAACAAAATGATCCGTACAAAAGAGACTAAATTTTTCTTCATTTATTTCATCGATAAACCTTCCGATAATTTTGTCACTTTCTTTTTTAAGTCACCTGTAATGTAAATGAATTTAATCAAATTTCTGAAAACATATGCCAAAATTAAGCACTGATTATCAAATCTTCATCAGCTAAATTTCTTACGCGATAAGACCTCTACTAACTAATAAAACTTCCTCACCATAAAATCAACATCAAAAACAAGCTAAAACTTTATAATTCAAATTATATTATTCTACATCAAATAGCAAATAAAGTCTGATCACAATGAACAAAGATTCATATAGAAAAAAAAAAGGAATACTAACAGCTTTGTTCATCAATCCATTGCAGAGCATCCAGTTGACGTCTAAGAATCTGCGCAATCTGTTCCGCCGATTCAGCCTCATCATCGAGACCAACAGCACTCCTCTGTAGTTCTTTAACCTAAAAATTTATATTTATCCAGTAAATACTTCAAATCCTACATAAAATATAGAAACTCTATAAGTATAATGCAGAAAGTTATACAAATGCACCTGTTCGATGATGTCAGTGATGTCATCATCTGCTTGTTTCAGCTGTGCATCAATTCGTAGCTGTAGTTGCAACCTAAAATTAGACAAATTATTAGCAATTTTAAGGCTAATTTGCATTTTGTCTAAATACAATCAGACTGAAAGCATAAAAACTCATATCAACTTAATAATAATAATAATAATAATAATAATAATAATAATAATAATAATAATAATAATAATAATAATAATAATAATAATCAATCAATTATTTTATAATTTTCGTTGTCATTTAACGAAAAAACAAAACATAATGGTAACGAAAAATTTCCGAAAGTACTTTTACGACTAGAAATTAAAATATGATTACAAAATGAGCCTAATCAAGTTGTTACAGTGTCAAAAACAAACTTACATAGCCTGTCGTTGCATATCAGCATGAGTAGCTACACCTGGATCTGGTAGTCCTATTGGCGTCATTTCTGTCCAATCACTAAGACCCAATGCCTTTTCCAAATCAACAACTAAAGCCTCAAGTTCAGCTTGCTGTTGAGAAATGAAATCCACAGTATGCAAAAATCGGTCCTTCTCCTCTTCCAGTTGCTTGATCTCTTCACTTATATCAAGAACCTATAATCCTTGCGCAATCATACTTCCATATAAAATAATGAAATCCAAACTAAAATTCAAAGAAATAAGAAATTTAGCGTATATGGGCATATATGGATGGCGCAATTACATGCTGAAGTTGATCAAGAATTAGAATCAATAAAAAGCAAACAGTTACATAATCGACAATTAAAATATCGCATCATTCATAAAGAAAAATTACAAATTTTAAAGGAATAAATCAAAAAAAAAAAAAAACAAAAGTTGGCCTTAAGTACTGCAGAAAATGAGATTGAAATATACACACACACAAAAAAAAAAAGTTATACCTTTTGCTGATTTCCTCGCAAAACTCGATCAAATGCATTCAATTCAAGTACTTGGGACATAAAAACACGCTGTTGTGTTTCGACATCAAGTGCTAAACGATTTATAAGCTGCTCCAGTTGTGCAAATGTGATCGGTTTATCAGCTCTGTAGCAAATCAGTTAATAAATATATATAATAACTGGTACCTATATGCTTAACAATAAAAACAGTCCCGTAAAAATTAAAATAAAACAGCCAAACATGCAAGTTTTATATTGAGAAGATCAGGTGTACTAATCAGAATCTCACTTCTATTTATCTTCAAATTATTGTTAGCACCATTTAATTTGTGAAAAAGTCATTTTTAAATTTTTATTTTTTAAAAAATAAAATACAATAACTAATCTGAAGCCAATCTCTAACTGATAATTTTGTTTACCTTTTCCAGCTATTTCTTTCATATATGTTATTATTATTTAGAAACCAAAATTCCAATTATAACCCGAACGAAATATAACTTACGAGATAGTAGGAGCAGCAGGAACAATACTAGCTAAAGCACTTGAAGTTATTGTTGAAGTAGTAGTTGTAATTGAAGCAGATGATGGTAAAGCAGTTGTTTTCGAAGGATATAATAATGATGGGAGTGCTGAACCAGCCGAAGTCACTGTACTTGTAGTAGATACAGCGGAAGTAGTTGTGGTAGATTGTAAAAAAGACGTTATAATTGGTAATGAAGCAGTAGTTACCATCGTTGTTGTTACCGCTGCTGCTGCTGCTACTGTTGTTGTTGTTGTTGTTGCTGCTGCTAATTGCCCACTGTAAGGCGTAATTTGTCAATAATGATTTACTTATTGAAATCAAGAAAAATCTATTTTAAAATGAAAAAAGAAAAAGTTCAAACTTTTAACTTACAAGGCAAATCCATTTGTTGGTACGGTAGGAACAGCAGTTGCAGGTGTAGCTTGAAATAATGGCAGTGTCGAAGCAGCTGAAGTCATGCTGAAATGAAATGATAAGTGACCATTACATATGAAAATGAGAAATTTGAACATTTT